TACAGGTTCAGGAGGTCCTGATCTCCGTTCAGGGAAAGGATCTGGTACTGCAGGTTTCAGTTATGACACATTAAATACTGGATGGATACTAAAGGATTCTGGTAACATTAGTTCAAAAGAAACATCATTAATTTTTCTTCATACTGGAAATGGTCCCACAGACTTACATTCCAACTTCCTCAATTGACATGCCATTTTCAGTTTCATTGTGGCAAGCCAAACTCAGTCTCCTGGCTGTAAGATCAGCTCTCCCCTTCTTTCTTGTTGAATGGCCTCTTGTTGTCTTTCTGAGCCTTTGTGACGATCTCCTGCAACAACTTATTATTGTGAGTAAAAAAATCCAGGGTGCTTTGGATGGAACAGATAACTAAGGTCAGGTGAGGTTGGGTGAAACCCATAGTTGGTGAAGATTGGGGACTGCTTGGTGGCTGAATGATTGGAGTTGTTGTAGACGAACACCGCAGAATTGACACCCAGTCATCTTGGACAAATGAAATGAAATACTGGATGTATTGCTCCAGCATCTGGTTAGTCCATTTTGTCTGCTCGTTGGTCTGCAGATGCTTAAGCGGAAGATAGGGACAGCTCAATCTTTAAAGTTTCACACAGTGCTTTCCAGAATCTTGATGTGAATTGGACACCTCGGTCAGAGACTATGTTTGCGGAAACTCCATCGAGCCTGACAATTTCCTTAGCAAATACCCAAGCAGTCTCAATAGCACATGGCGTATTTTTCAGGGGAAAGAAATGAGCCATCTTTAATAGTCGATCCACTACCACAAAGATAGCAGTTCAACCTTCAGATGGTACAGGTTCCACAATAAAGTCTAAAGAGATCATTTTCCATGGTCTATCAGGTACAGGCTGATACAAGGTACAAGGTGTGAGCAATCCCCAAGCTCTGTTTCGAGTACTCTTACTCCAAATACAGGTTTTACATGCGTTTATGTAGGCCTTGCAATACTTCTCCAAATCAGGCCACCATATTATGAGTTGTGCCAAATCAACAGCCTTGTGCACCTCTAAGTGGCCAGCCAAAGGGTGATCATGGCAGAACCCCAGGGCAACTACCCGAACATTTTCAGGCTCAAAAATGTGCTCACCTTTCCACACTAGTCCATCTCTACTCTGCAAGGTGACACCAGAACTGGGAGTTTCTGCAGAAGCTTGCTGCAACTGTGACAAGCGGTTAGTCTGTAATAGCAGAAAGTTCCCTACTGGCAGAATAGTGTCTGGTACCAGAGTGTCTTTAGGATCTTCAAATATGTGTGACAGCACATCCGCTTGGTATTCTTTGACCCAGATCTGTAGGTAATATGGAAGGTGAATCTTGAGAAAAAGAGTGCCCACCGAGCTTGACGTGGCTTGAGGTGTTTTGCAGTTCTCAAATATTTGAAGTTCTTATGGTCTGTGTATATTAGTATTGGGTGGACGGTTCCCTTAAACAGATATCTCCATTCCTTCTGGGCTGTTTTAAACGCAAGAAGCTCCTGGTCTCCAACATCATAATTTCCATGAGAAAGTTTTCGTTAGAAGAATGCGACTGGATGAATCAAGTCCTTGAGACCTTGACGCTGAGATAGGACTGCTCCGACTGCATTTTCCAATGCATTCAGTTCTAGAATATAAGTAGTGTGCAATTTGGATGACTCAGGACCAGGACAGTGGTAAATAACTTTTTTAAAGTCTCAAAAGCAGTTTGTGCCTCAGAAGTCCAACGGAAACGGATACCTTACTTGGTGAGTTGTGTGATGGGAGTGATGATAGTTGAAAAGTTCTTGATGAACTTCCGGTAAACGTTAGTGAATCCCACAAACCGTTTTATTGTCTTTATCTGTGGGGGCTGGCCAGTCCAGAATCGCCGACACCTTCTGTGGGTACATCTTAATTCCATCAGTAGAGATGATAAAACCAAGAAACTAAATGCTCCGCTGCTCAAAGTCACATTTCTTGGCCTTGGCATAAAGTCCATGCTGGAAGAGCTGACTTAGTACACTTTTAACATGCCCCCGGTGCACTTCCAGGGATACAGAGAATATCAAAAAATCATCCAGATAGACGATGATAAAGATATCTAGAAAGTTTCTGAAAATGTCATGGATGAAGTGCTGGAAGTAGCTGGTGCAATGCATAGGCCGAATGGCATGACCAAATACTCAAAATGGCCAAATTGAGTACAGAACACAGTTTTCCACTCGTCCCCTTCCCGGATTCGGACCAAATTTAAGGTTCTCTTAAATCCAGTTTTGGTGAAAATAACTGCAGATTTAAGTCATTGGAATAGTTTAAAAACCAAGGGAAGGGGGGTAACGATTCTTTACTGTGATCTTATTCAGGTCACAATAGTCCACACATGGCTGAAGGGAACGGTCCTTTTCCACAAATGAATCTCTTCTGGAGGTTCTCATCGATATAGTCCTTTAAAGCACCCAATTCCCGTTCATTAAGAGGAACAATGTATCCAAAGGGAATCTCCACTCCAGGAAGAAGCTCAATGGAATAGTCATAAAGTCTATGCAGAGGAAGGGTATCTGCCCCCTGAAAACATAAAGGTACTCGTGGTAGGCCCTTGGGACTACTTGGCAAAGCTCAATGTCCGAGTCCATGCATTATAAGGTGGTGGGTGACAGAGATAATCCTGACATGCAAGGTTTCTGGTAATATGGAGACAGGAACTGAATACTTCCAGAATGCCAGTCAATATGTGGGTTATGAGGCTGTAGCCATGGTAGGCCCAAGATGCCAAAAAATAAGCTGAAGAAAGGGAGAAACACTTACGCAGCTTAGCTGGGTAGCTGCGCACACAGTGACTGACTTCTCCACAGTACAGGCAGAAGTTGTTCTCTGGGGTTAATGAAGGATTGATCAGGCCAAGCTGCATGGGTTCAGGTGCCTTCGGTGTGGCTGGAGCAGAATTTCCGAGCACTGGGCTAGGATGAACTGGAATCTTAGGTAGCATCTATACAGAACGGGACTGCTGCTTAGATCTTTCAAATCTGCATTCGAGTAAGCGACGATCAATCTGGATCAGCAAGGTGATCAGAGCTTCCAAAGAGCTTTGCACAACAACTCAAGCAAGATCATCCTTGAGGCCTTCTGAGAGACCTAAACAGAATTGATGAGGAAAGGCTATGTTGTTCCAGCTGGTATCTGCACTACAGCATCTAAAGTCTGTGACATAGTCCTCAACCACTAAGTGGCCTTGCTGTAGTGCGTGTAGAGCAGCCGTGGCGGTTGTGGTTCGCTGTAGGTCATCATAAAGCTGAGCCATAGCATCGAATGAGGATATGGTGTTTAGTTCTGCATGGTTTTCCTCCAATAACCGATGAGCCCAGGTATGTGGTTCACCCTGGAGCAGCGAAAAGATGAAAGTCACCTTGGCAGATTCCTAGGAAAAGGTCCGTGGCTGTAGAGTAAAATTGTTGACGTGTTGCAGAACACTATAAAAAATTACTCAGATCACCAGAGAACCTCTCAGGAGTAGGTACTCGATGTTCATGGGATAACATCATTACAGCAGGGTTAGTAGGAGCCTCTGTTGGAGCAGCAGCTGCGGCAGAAGTAGGAGCAGATGCAGAGGTAGTCACTGATGTGGCAAGGGACTATCCATGTTCCTCCGGGTGGAGGAACGTGAACTGCATGGAGGTTCTTGACTGCATGGGTAAGAGCAGCAAGGTGCTGACAAATCTTAACCAGTGGAGAGGGTTCTCTTGCAGGCTAAGGCATGGCTGTTTGATACTGTCTCGTACCTGGATAGAGAGCCTGTCGTAAACAGGAAGGCCTCTTGTACAGCTCCGGCTCGAGGGCTACTGGTAGAGGAATAGCAGCCATGGGAACATGGTGAGGTATGAGTGCCTGTGATCAGTCTAGTAGTCTGCATGGCAGCAGTAGTCAGAAGGTAAGTGTAGCAGCCGAACAAGCTGGTTCCAGATGAACTGGCACAGATCTTTGGCTAGTAGCAGACTGTGGAAGGGCAGCAGGAAGCAGATGTGGACTAGCTGGACTGAAGAGCTGCAGCGGGCTAGACGAGCAAGATGTAGGGTAAGACAAGCCAGGTCGGTAACAGCCTGGCAGATCAGGCATAGACGGCAGACAGCAGAATAGTTGGGTCACAAGCCAGGTCAGCAGCAGAGGATCAATCAGGCAAGAACAGGAGGCATAAGCAGAATCCAAAGGCACAGGAATCAGGAATAAACACGCAGAAGCTGTAGAACATACAATAGACAATACTGCAGCCTGTTTAAATAGCCTGTTTGGTGCCAGCATTAGACAGGCGCAAGCCTATGCCCATGGCCATGCACATCTGCCCAGCCATATTTATGCACATATTTATGTGTCGAGAACCTTTATCTGTATTAGGGGCAAGCCTTTCCTGACAATAGCACTTTCTGCCCTTCATTCAATACATGTTTACATTTGAGGAAAAACAAACTGCAGTATTGGGTTTTGTCAGTTTTGATAAGATCACAGGAAGTTTCTGAGGCCTGGGAGGAAATGCAGAGTAAAATGAGCCTGTCATCTTATCTCTCAAAACTCAATTTTCTTTTTGAAACACCAGAACCAACCTGTTTCTTACTGACAGGTAGGTGTAAAATTATGGATTTGGAAGTTGTGACTCTCTGACATGTTTGATAATTCCACCTTGTAATTTTTATATAAGTGTTTTGTTAAAATAATTCTATCTTTCAGGCATTTGTGGTATTCCAAAGTAAATAATAAAAGCATTATATATTTAACTAGGTTTTAACTGCCATATCCTTTTAGACTTAGATTAGACATTTGCAGGTCATTTTAAGTTTAATATTAACATAAATAATAATATAATTGATCTTCAGTTGGAATGATATTGATTTTCAGATAATGTCTGGCCAGTGTGGTAAAAGCAGCAGACAGGCTTTGCCGAGTTAGCCAAGCTTAATGCATTATCCATTGGCATTTACTTGGCAATTAGTAAAGAAATAAGATTGAGTATGCTCAAATAAGGTCTTTGTCTTTCTCAGGGAATGGAAATTGTCCAAACAATGAACAGTGATCCAGGACTGGCTGTTGGTAAGAAATTTTTTTTTTTTCCTTTTTGCTTTTAGTTGAGTTATGTACTTTATATTATTTCCTAAAATGTATCTTAAAGTTCTGGGAAGACTCACCCTCTATATTGTTTGCTACTATTACTGGAGAAGAAATTGACTGGAAATCTAAAACTTTACAATCGTCACCAAACAGAAGAGAGGAACGTTTTAGGTGAGAAAGATGAGAGGAAAGTTTCCAATGGGGACATCCATTTCAGACAACTTTTATAAAGAGAAAATTTCCCCTTAATGTTGTGTCTCCTGGAAAATTAGGTAAGGAAAATCTCCCCATAATACAGATAGCAAAAAAAATGTCAGTGGTTTAAACCCTTCCCCACTGCAATCCAAAATTATAAAAAGGTTTTGGATAGAGGTCCATTTTAGATCTACTGTGTTCCTGTAACACATATAACTGAATGGATGAAAATCACCACCAACAGCTCTAGTTGTATATGGTCCAATACTAGCAGAAATCAAAATAAACAAACATTCATAATACTTCTGTGTGCTGCCAAAAGAAAAAGTCAAATCCTTACCAATAAGCCCCCAAGACCTTTTTTTTGTAGAATGTCTAGGGCATCCTTTCTCAACCTTTTTTTTTTTTAAAACATCAATAGTAATATCTTTCTGGTCTCAGGAAACCCCTGCTAATAATATCTACATATCTACAGCTCTTGATGGTAAGTGGAAAAAATGCACCTTACATTTGTGGTCAGTGCTAGGAATCCCCCCTTTATAGATAGTTAAAAAGATAATTGCTGACAGTGGTTACATATCGGAGAGGCATAAACTGCTCATTGCTCAAGGAACCTCTAGCAACCCCTGGAGGAACCCTGATTGAGAAAGGCTGGTCTATAACAAACACTAGACATGAGCATTTCCATTAGTTACAAATAGATTTTCGGAGATTCGGATGTATTCAAATCTCTGAATGGACATCTTAATCTCAACGAATCAGAAAAAATAGTTATAACAAAATTAATAAATGCATTTTTTTTCATTCAGATGACATCACATGATGCGATAACAGTTCGGGCCCATGGGGAAATGAATTAAATTTTTAAATTCATTCGGTAAAGGTATAAAATATTTGGGAGCACTGAATTTTGCATTATTTTTATTCCTTTACATCTGAAAAAATTGCAAATTATCTGAAAAAAATAGCAACATTTTGCACATCCACCAAGACCAACGAATATATAAACAAATACTGAGGCTACAAAACAAATTACAAAAACAATATGTTCAACATAATGAATGTGACAAAACGAGATTCTTCAATGAACTAATGCATCTAAATCAAAGCGAAAATTTAGGTCATGCACATGACTAGCAACCACAGACTGGGGAAACCTTAAAGTGTAATATAATATGCATTAAATCAATCCAAGTGTGGCTATTAAAAGTAAAGAACAAGAATATTCATAAATAGTGAAAATATTTATTAGTATGCTAAAATGAATAACTTGCTTAAAGAGTAACAAGAATAGCCCTAGGAATTGTCAGCAGACTCTCAGCATTCTTCTTCCCTGTGGAAGTGAAGTGTCAGTAACATGCTTTAATACAAGAAACTGTTTAACACTTTTGTAGAATCCCATACTCTTGTGAATTTATATCTGTTCAAAAAAATGAAAGAAAAGGAAAAAGTACATCATATTGAGGTGTCCTATATTTAAAATCTAAAGTTTGGCTGTCCAAGGGGGAATAGACATAGAAGTTTATCGTGACATAGCAAACGTTAAAAATAAATGTATCTTTAATTTATAATTCCCAGATTAGAAGCTATAGACACTTTAGTGCATATGACAATAACCATGGCTTTTCGGAATTCAACCACAATACCCCAAACCCCCACTTCCCCCCCCCCCCCCACACATACACCATCCAAATCGCATCATATAGTGGGTATGGTTCAATCTGACTAACAATGGGAGAGTCTTAAAGGGGCATTAAATACCAGGAGTGCATTATGGACAGAGTGCAGGGGTTTAGGGGTGCACTACACACAGAATGCAGAGTTCAGCCTTCCTCCACATCCCCCATCCACATCTCACTTTCCTCCCTCTTCAGCTCTGACCTCTGCATGCAGCATCCCCTCCACTACCCCAATCTTCTCCCCCTTACTTAAAACCTCCAACATCGTCCATATGTCTTACTTTTGTTGTTGTATTAAGCAGAAGCACCCAGCTGGCTCTAGTACCTTACTGCATACTGCAGGTGGCTCTTCCTCTCTCACTTGCAGGGGGATCATCGTTGCCAGCATCCACTGTACCCCAGGTAGCTGCATCTCCCTTGTCCCTATCCTGCATTCAGTGGGAGCCACTCAGGAGATCAGAAATGTGGGAGACCAGCAATCACTTGTAAAACACAGAAACCAGACTTCAGTGTTTATAAGTGAAAGTGTTGAGCACGGAACATAGATCCTGAGCCAGAGGTGATGGAAAGGAGTTCCACTAAGTTCTAGCTGAAAAAAGTCCTGCCAAGATCTATGGGTCTCAATTCTTTTAGCCTCACATGTGTTTTTTGAGACTTTGACCAGATTAAAGACAATTCTGCCCACTCCTTCTGGGCACTGGATTACACTGATGCTGTCATCAGGGGCTAAAACTGTGACAGCTTGCACCTCCACTAAGACAACTGCAATGCAGTTGTACTGCTCTGTGGAACAGATGATAAACGGAGTCTGTGACGAAAATCAGCTGCCAAATGTCTACTGTAAGTGCTGTAACACTTACAGCTGACATGTCTTTCCCCACACTAATTTAGGATATGGTTGCCTAAGTCTAGGCTTACACTATTTCGGGGGGCCAGAAGGTGTGTAAATTGTACACATTCCTGCACCCGCAGCAAAAACACACTGCTGTTTAGTAGAAGTGCAGGGGTAATATTAATTCTTAATGCCACTCTTACACATTGGAAACTGTAACATGTTTTCCTATGCACACAAACGCATAGCACCATAGGTCAGGGACTTTTTTCCTGCATTTCAAATGAATAGACTGTTGTGCTCATTCACACATGAGTGTGAACCAAAGTATTAGACATAAAACCATATTATCTCTTCAGACACCAAAATGTTAGCACACTAAGGAAGGCATTGTCAAAGTAAATTCTCTTCAAGGTTTTAAGATGACATCACCTGTCTATTCCAATGCAAAAAAAATGCTGATGGCCCTTTCACACGGGCAGTCCAATCAGATCAGCATGTCAGTTTTTCAAATGGACTCTATCGGAAGTTCAGTGCATTCCTATGGATCGTCAGGTATAAACAGACTTGAGTCTGTTTACACCTGCACACCTCCGGGTCCAACTAGGCCAGCTGAAAAAAAAAAAAAAAAAAAGGAGGACTGTGTGCTTTTCCATTTGTGCAGATTGGATTGGAGGCAGCCGGTTGTAAACAGACAGTGGAGTCCCTTTACTCCCAACTGCTCATAGAGCAGACCAAGTTCTGTCTGTGCCCACTCTGCAGATACTGAGTGGACATGGACTTATCTGCCCCACTCTGCTCCAATCAGCAGGTGTCAGCTCGCAGATCCCCTGCTGATTGGAACCAAAAGGTATCTGTGTGAAAGGGGCCTAAAAGTGTTGATCTGATTGCCACAATTAAATATCATGATTTTAATTCTGCACACTTGGATTCATTTGCAGGTGTGGAGTCAGTAAAATATAATGATATATGGAGGGGGGAGATTTACTAAAACTTGACCACTCAGAATCTGGTGCAGCTGTGCAATTTAGCCAATCAGCTTCTAACTTCAGCTTGTTCAATTAAGCTTTAAAAATAAAACATGGACCCTTTTGGAAATTACTGTTCCAATGTGGTACACTCTCTCAGTTTCATGATATTCTTATGAGCCCTGGGGAAGACTATACTCCTTTTTTGCGCAAGTGGGAATCCGACATGGGTCTTACTTTAATGTTGGAAAACAGAGACCATGTTTTGTTCTTCACCCACAAATTTACAATCTCTACAACAGATTTCAGGAGGCCGGGTATGAATTTTTGATCAGATGGTAAAAATTGCCGCTTTTGTTAAACAGCATTATTCCAAGGTGTTGGAGGTGTCTTTGAGATCTCAGGATGCTCTTCCACATCTCTTGGCAGTATGTCCAATTTGAGAGAAAGTTCAGAAGGCGATTTTCAAGCTTACAGATTTTAGGACTGAAGACCACCCCAAGGCATTTTGGTTACATCTGACCCCGATGACTAAATGCCTCTACAAGAAGTCACCGTTCGTGCATCTAATAAAGGTCACTAGGGTCTGCATATTTCAGATATGGAAGCATACTGAGTGCTCCTCACTGGGTCAATGGTTCCCTGTAATCAAAGAGATCCACCTGATGGAGGAACTCACCGCATCTATGAAGCGAAAAGAGGAACAGCAGCAGAAGACCTGGGTCTATTGGACTGCTTTCTTTTATTCACAAGACTACCACAATTACCTTGCTACTGATGGGTAAGCTGGGTTTACAAGAGAACCCATCTGACTTTCTCTGGGATTATGCACACATCTGTTACTTTTCAGTTGGTTATACTCCCCCCCCCCCCCCACACCCCCACACCCCATTTTTATTTTCCCCCTTCCCTCCAAGTTCTAATGTAGTGTACCTCCTCCATTCTTTCCTGTGGATGTAGTAGGTAGTTCTCTCTGTCTCTTATTAAATAGAATATTCCAGATCCTCCCACCTAGCCGTATATGAGGCTATCTGTGGCTTATGTAAGAATCAGTCACCTTACAACCCCAAGTTCCTATAGCCACTTTGTTTTCTGGTTCCTACTTATGATGTGGTTGGCTAGTGGTATGGGAGTGACTAGGAATGTTGTGTACAGATGTTACTATTCTGTACTGTATGGCTTTGTGGTTGGTTTCAATAAAAGCCTATATTTAAAGACAATAAATCATGGAAGTTGATTGGTTTCTCATAGAGCTGCACCAGATTTTACATGCTTCAGTTATAGTAAATCTGCCCCAAGGTGTGCAAT